TGCCCAAAAAGCTTCTCCTCTAGAGAAGCTGTCTGCTGGAGGGGGGGGTCTTTAGGTGCCGCTGTTTGCCGGGGGCTCGATGGAGACATTCCCACCCAGCCTTGTCGTACACTCTATTCCTGTATTTCCAAATAGCAGAACAGGGAACTGGCCTCAGAATCAGGAATGTTCAGGTTCCAGCTCTGTCTCTGGCACATCCTGGCTACAGGACCCGGGAAAAGTCATTCTTCGTGCCAATGTACATGAGAGGAACGAGTTTCCTCACAGAGGAGTTCCCTATGCCAGCGTAATCATAAACCCAGCCCCTTTTCCCACCCCACTGCCTAAATCACACCTCTCCTCCACTGTCACTTCAACAAAACATAAACTGAAATCATCTTCCTCCCCTCACCAGATCTGATTCCAAGTCATCCCATTTCTGCCTAAATGACTACCCTTCACCTCTTTTCCTTAGTGGCCTCTCTAACGCCTTCCTTCCCCTCCATCCCCTGTCTCCAATCCATTCCCTGGATGACTGCTCTTCCTCAGAAAACTGCTCTCTCCTCTCCACCCTCACTGCCGCTACCCACAGGCGTGCAGGCCCACAGCAGCACAGACATGGCTAATCCTGTGGAGCCTCCTGGCCTCTCACTGAGTGGAAAGGCCTTGTGCATGGGGACTTTGATCTCAGGGCTCCCATGTTTGAGTGCTAGCTATGCCACAAACCAGCTGGGTGGCCTTGGGGTGAGGCAATGAAACTCTCTGGGCCTCTGTTTCCTCACCCATCAAATAAGGGAACTGGACCAAATGATCCTTAAAGTCCCTCACAGTTCTACACGTCCAGCTAACAGGTTACTTTGCCTAAAACTGTACTCCCCTGCTCAAGCACCTACGTTGTTGTTCACTCATTTCAGTCATGTCTGATTCTTTGTGACCCCATTTGGAGTTTTCTTGGCAAAGATACTCGAGTGATTGGCCTTTTCCTTCTGCAGCTCATTTTACAGATGAGGAAACTGAGGCAAACAGGGTTAAATGACTTGCCCAGGGTCCCACAGTTAAGAAGTGTCTGAGGCCAGATTTGAACTCAGGAAGGTGAGTCTCCCTGACTCCAAGCCCAGTGCTCTGTGCACAGTGGCACCACCTAGCTGCCCTCAAGCACCTGCATCAGCTCCCTATTCTCTACTACACTAAAGCTTAACTTTCTCTGCCCACTTTTCAAGGAGTTCTACAATCGGATCCCACCCCACTTTCCACCCTAATACTTTGTGACTTCCAAGACACATAAAAGACGCATCATCTCTCAGTCCGGGCTCTTCACCATCCCTCTTCCGCTGCCCATTCCCATGTCTGTGGCTTTGCTCACACTGACCCCTTTGTCCCACCCACCCTTCTGCCTCCACTCCACCTTCAAGCCCCAGCTCGAGCCCCCTCACTCCCATGAAGTCTTGCCTTTGACTCCCTAACCATCTCCCCCTTTTCCTGAAATTGTACTGCCACAGGTGCCACATTCCATTGCTCTGGGCGTATTGTCAGTCTTCCGGAAGACTAGGCCACACTCTCACTCTACTTCTGAAGCCTCAAAACACGGAGGCATTCGACAGAGGTTTTCACCGATCTGCTATTGATCCACTAATAGGAACGCCAACTGGAAAGGCTGGACTTTGGCTGTTCTCTGCTCTCCTAACGCAGTCATCCTTTTTTCAGCTGAATCCTCTACCTGAAATGTTCTAGATGCCAAAATAAAACCAATGTACAGTTGATGTACAAATCTGAATGCCCAACAGGCTATTAAATTTTAATTTTAATAATATGCCAATTGGCTGAATATCAAATGATAGCAACAGAGGATGACAACGAAAACATTTATCTCTAGTAAATAAAGGACCCACACGTCCAAATTCCAAACTCACACAAAGCAGAAATTTGTTTGAAAGGACAAAATGACCACACTGTTTAGTGGAGCAGATCATCTCTGTGAGGTGTGATGGCTGAAAGAGTCCTCCTCCTGCAGCCAGCCTGGGCATAAGAGCCGCAACTTGGCTGAGCTGACATTAAGCACTGAGGGCTCACCAGGCACCAGACACTTCTACTTCAGGAGACAAGAGCACTGGTTCTGGAGGCGGACAGCCTGGGCTCAAAGCCTTTGCCTGACACTGTCACCTGGGGGAGTCACAGCCTCCCTGGCCTTTGGCCTCCAGACAGCACCCTTTAACCTCGGGAGATTATCCTAACATTCTAAATAAAATATCATTTTAATATTGTGCACAAATTATTTCCACTGCAACAGCATCAAAAAGAATACGTAGCTGTGAATACACAGTTGTTTCCATTTAAGACACCTAATGTTTACAATCCTGACCACGGCACTCAGCCCAATATGGCCCAGAACCTGATCTCCACGATCTAAAGGGCTATTGGGGGGGGGGGAGAGG